GCTAGCTGGAGGGGACCTGGCACCGAAAGAGGGCTTCTTGACAGGAGTGATTTGAGCATGCTTAAATGTTAATGAGAAGGGATGAGGGAAGGAAAGGAGAGGGGTAGTAGAAGCATCATCTCGCAGGGGACAGGAGGAAGAGGGTCCGGAGCACGGTGGAAGTGCCGACTGCTGTGTTGGGAGAGGAGGAGAAGGTGGTTAGAGATGCTGGTCAGTGCATTGTTGCGACAGGGAGTAGAGAATTTACGCTTGGTGGTTCTGTTTTTTTCTCTGAAGTTGATGGAGAGATGATCTGGAAGAAGGGAGGCAATAGGGTAGCAAGTCTGAGAAGAATGATCATTGTGAGAATGGGAGAGAAAGCTAATTAAATTGCCGGGGAGGGTTGAGGGCAGAAGTGAGGTTAGAGACTAGCACGCGAATGGCCTCAATCTATGGGGTTGCTAATTTTATTCATCGGTGCTCAGCAGCCCAGATGTAAGAGCAAAGAAGAATAGTTTCACTGACCTAGGCAGATATAATCCAAGAACAATGGATAGGAGAGTCGATGATATTGGGAAGAGTGGTTTAAAAGAGGGGTCATGGGGATTCCATGTTGCATAGAGAAAGAAATGATGACTGAGAGAAAGCTTGAGAAGGACAGAATAGATAAATCAAACGTTTGATGGATTTCAAAGAAAGGATGAAGTAGAAGTAGGAGAGGCAGAAAGCCATGAGGGAGTCACACCTCAGAGTGGGTGAGTGCATTTATGATTTCAGAGGGGAAACAGCATAGCCAAGGAGCAGGGAGTGTCTGAAGTACACGGAAATGAAGGTCATTAAGGAGGTCATGGCAATGAGCTTCCAGGGGTTAGGATGGCTCATCCACACAGGTGACAGGAGGGCTAGAGGTAGGAAAGAAGACTGTGAGTCCAGGGCTAAAGTTTCAAAGAATCGGGGAGTGGGCAGAAGGTCAAGGAAAGACAAGGGTGAGGTTGGGGTAAACATTGATGAGTGCCTGAAAATCTCTAATGAACATATGGATGCATGAATCAGTGAATAAGTGCGCAAATGAATGCATTCATTCAGACTAGTCTGGCACATTCTAGGAATATCTAGCCATAAATTCTGAGACTCCCAAAGAAAACACTAGGCTCAGAGAAGCCAGATGACTAGGAGTGTAGAGGCCTCAGGTTATCATAAGAGTTGAAGATGAGCAAATCTCCTCAGTCTGTCCTATATGTTGAGCACATGCTCAACATGGTAGCCATTAGCTCCTTGCAGTATTCAGGACTTGAAATATGGCTAGTCCAAATTTGCTTGAACAAATAAAACATCCACTGGATTTTGATGACTTAGTACAAAAAAAAAAAAAAAAAAAAGAACATAAAATATCTCATCTTGAACTATCGATCACAAGCTAAAATACAAAATTTTTGGATCTATGGTGTCAAATAAAATATTGTTAAAATTATTTTCACCTGCTTTATCGATTGATTGATTTTTACGTTTTATATGAGGCTACTAGAAAATTTTAAATTACATGTGCGGTTGACAGTATATTTCTTTTGGATAGCACTGTTCTAGGCATTGGTCAGTAGCCTTTGCAATCCTGAGGAAGGTACTATGCCATCCCAATATTTGCACATGTTCAACCGAAAAGTTAATAAATGCAGCCACTCTGTTGGAATTCCATATGTACTTAGTGCTATAAGTAAAATTTGAGCCCTCAAATTTTAACTTTCTTGTACACTGGGAATGTCCCTTTAAGAGAGCATCTTAAGTCTCTCAAAGTATTGCAAAACCTCCCACTTGCTCCATTAGATAGGCTCTGCAGCCTGGAAACCATGTTAGTGATGGATACAAGTGTATCCATATTTGTCATATTTGTCTTCACTGTTACCACAGCTGGAAGGAGGAAACCATCTCCCTTCTTGGGGTATTTCTGACATGAAGAGGCTGGAGACTGTGCAGATTGCACTTGTAATTTCCCTTGGACTGGGGAAGCCTAAGGCTCCACTTCTGCAGGCCAAGTCTCCTTGGAACCTGTAGTTATTGCCTTGCTTAGTAATGCCCACTACAATTTAAAGGGCAGGAGACCTATTTTAGCCAGAAATTGTGAAAGAAGATCCCAAGTCAGTAGCAGGCAGAGCTTTTCTTTTTGCCCAAATCCAAAAATGTAATAGTAAATATTGAGGGTTTACCCTGGGTCAGGCACAGTGAGGAAACAGAGGCCCCAAGAGCTTAGGCAACCTGAGAGATTCCACGGGTAAAAAGCAGCAGAGCCAGGATCTCAACTCAGGTGGTCTAACTCCAGAGCTGTGATCCTCATATCACCCTACACCTTCCAACACAGCTGATTATGGACCAGGAAACAAAAAAGAAGGAAGCCTCACTTAACCAGCTCAGAAAAAGCCTCTGAAAGAACATGGATCAGCTGGGCTGACACATTGTGCCCACACACGTGCACTGAATGGCCCAGTTGAAACTGGATCCTTTAGCAGTCCTGGTTCCCAAACCACGCACTGGAATAAGTCAGTGTTTAAGGGCCTCATTCCAGGGCTGCTAAATCAGAACTCTGGGAATAGGGCCTAGAAATTTGTATTTTGAAAGCATTTTCCCAGTAGAGATAAGGGAGCCATTACTCTTGATTAGGATCTGATTTGGAACTTGGACTTCTGGGGTAACTCATGGTGTGAAATGGAAGGAGGGTACAAGGAGGGTTTGCTTAAACTCTCCACTCCTTTGATGTGGTATCAAATGAGTGGGCCAGACCTTGGGAGCACCTTTGGTAGATCCACCATTTGTGTTCTAATTTCTTTCTTTCTTTCTTTTTCTTTTTTCTTTTTTTTTGAGATGGAGTCTTGCTCTGTTGCCAGGCTGGAGTGGCATGACTCGGCTCACTGCAACCTCTACCTCCCAGGTTCAAGTGATTCTCCTGCCTCAGCCTTCCAAGTAGCTGGGACTACAGGTGTGCTCCACCCCACCTGGCTAATTTTTGTATTTTTAGTAGAGATGGGGTTTCACCATGTTGGCCAGGATGGTCTCGATCTCTTGACCTCATAATCCGCCTGCCTCGGCCTCCCAAAGTCCTGGGATTACAGGTATGAGCCACTGCATCCGGCATTGTGCACTAATTTCTAAGCAGCTTCCCAACCTTCAGATGGCTAGGGCCTCTGCTTCAACTCAAGCAAAGGGATGAGTGCTGTTGCCTGAAGGCAGGCAGACACTGCCACCTCTAGAACTAAGGGTAAGTAGTGGGAAGGCCACAATACTAACTCTCTCCTTCTTCCTCCTTTTAGCCTTTCAGTGTGATGATGTACCCAGCTGGTCCAGGATCTGGTGACTCCCCAGAAGGCTTCCCTGAACAACCAAGGCTCCAGTCACAAACTGGAAATTGCACGACTCAGACACTGGGTACTGAAACTGGGTGCATTGTCCAGTCCCTCCTGCACAGCATGTTTGGGGCAGAAGATTGAGGGAGGGAGTGGGGAAGAGAGACTCAAAGAGGGCGCTGGGTGGCACAGAAGTGATGGCAGCACTGGCCTTCATTTAGTCACATATGCTATGTTCAACCAGTCAGCAGAGGCTTATGTGGTGGCTGGGAGTGCTAGGGAATGCAGGTTCAGCCACTTGCAAAAGCAATGAGCAAGGTCATGGTATGGTAGAAGGAGACTGACTTTATTATAAATCAAAGTTAGCAGTGGGGAAAAACGGTCCAGACTTTTGCCTTAATGGAACTGCTTCACATTTCCAAGCAAAATGTGAGGCTTTAAGAAGAAGTTTTGGCATGGAGGGTATGCAAGGGGTGAGGCAGTGCAGGTCTCCATGAGGAGTTCCAATGACTTGCCTTGAGTTCCTGCCCATTTGGTGAACCGGCTGGCACCATCTTGGGCTAGGCTGTAAATTAACTGTAGCCTTGAAGCAATCTCCTGGTGGGGGAGATTTCCACAGATGCCTATATTGTTCCAAGATTTATTCTCTGGAACTTTTAAGCAAACATACAATTAGATATGCTAACAGTGTGTGCATGGAGGGGAGGGCTGGGGGCTGCCTAGTGGTTAACCAAACAAAAAGAAACAAAGAAATAAAAGAATACAACTTTCAAGCTGGGTACTTGCTTACAGTAGGTACTTGGACTGTATTAGAAACACCTCAAGATAAGCAACCAAGCAGCGAGAACTGGTCCCTGGCTTGTGGAAATTTCTCTTTTCTCTCTTTTTCTCTCTCTCTCCTCTCTCCCCTCTCTTTCCTCTCTCTCTCTCTCTCCTTACCAGTGGGACATCCTGTTTTTCTAGATTAGGGAAAAGAAGGCCCATTTGGAAGGTGGGGAAGGAGACAAAATCTTACTTGCTGAAGCAAGGTAGGGCTCATTTGTGACCTTGAATCTGAGACAGGGAAGTAGAGGCAGGAAAAAGGAAAAAATGGAGAACTCGCTTCCTTTCGGGACTGAGAAGGGCTAGAAGTCAAGCTTAAGAGAAGCCTTAGAGAAAGTCTAGCTCTTCATTTTACAGGTGAGGAAACTGAGGGGCGGAGAGGTTATAGTGTGGTCACAAGGTGGACACCTAGTTAGCAGCAGGAGTGGGAATAAACAGCGGCCTTTGAATAACACTATGGAGCCTCTAGTGAGGCGCTCAATTTTTTTTTTTTTCGAGAGGGAGTCTTGCTGTGTTACCCAGGCTGGAGTCCAGTGGCACGATCTCGGCTCACTGCAACCTCCGCCTCCCGGGTTCGAGCAATTCTTCTGCCTCAGCCTCCCAAGTATCTAGGATTACAGGTGCCCACCACCACTCCCGGCCAATTTTTTGTATTTTTAGTAGAGACGGGGGGGGGAAATTCACCATATTGGCCAGGCTGGTCTCGAACCCCTAACCTCGTGATCCGCCCGCCTCCGCCTCCCAGAGGCGCTCAATTCTAATCCCGGACGATTGGGTGGCTAGCGGGAGCTAGGAGCGGCTAGTTGCCATGGGAACCGGCTCCTCCCACTGCCTGCGTGCCGACCCGTAAACCTGCGCTCCTAATAAAGTTGTTGTTGAAACGCTGCGGCGGGAGCGGCGGCGACACCACGTGGGCCGGGCGGGGGGCGGGGCCGAGCTGAGGGAGGCTCTGCAGACGGCTGTCAGGAGTGGAGGCGGGCGCGGGGCCGGCCATGATCGCGTCGTGCCTGTGTTACCTGCTGCTGCCGGCCGCGCGCCTCTTCCGCGCCCTCTCAGGTACCGGCCCCGCGTACCGACAGGCGGGAGACCGGCCTGGCCCCGCCTCTGCGGGGTTCCGCGGGCCTGGGACGGCGTGCGGTGGGCCGGGCCTCACAACTACTGTGCCCGGGGCAGTGCCGAGGTGTGGGGAGGCGGTCCTGAGCCTCCGCCCCGCGGGCCCCTCGTGACCCCAAGAGGCCTGGACCTGGCAGACTACCCTCATGGGCGGCCCCTCCTCCTGCCTGTTGTTAGATGGCGTCGGGCCACGGTTAAGGTGGAGAGGGGCTGTGGACGGGGCGGGGCCCTTTCCTGGCCCTGGGGTTGCAGAGGGGTTATGGGGTCGGCTGAGTTAGCCCCCAGGGGGTCGGGAAACGGTAGCAGCTTGGGCCGAGGCGAGTGCCTAAATTCTCGGCGGGGGAGGCGGGTCGGCCCTGGGAGGTCTATGGCCGAAGTCCTGGACGCACCGGGCTTCCCCAGGTTCACTTCACACTCACCTTTCACTGCCACCTGGCAGCTCTCGCTCCGCTCTCACCGGTGTGTTTGGTTGAAAAACGGACGCTCAGAAATCAGACACATGTCGATATCTGCTTTGGAGCATTTCCGCCCCCCCGCCCCATC